CAGATGTCAGCTGGAGCTGGAATTGCAGGCTGTTGTTAGCTACCCAGTGTGAGTGCTGGAAAGTGAATTTTTGGGTTCTGTCCAAGAAGAGTACACAGTATTATTAATCACTCAGTCATCTCTCCAGTCCCTCACATACATACTTTTGAAAAAAGTAGATCTAGGGGCTTTTTCAAATATATGCTACTTTTGGATTCTTTTCTTCTCTAGTTTTCTTTTTGCGGGGATTGAACCTACATCCTTGTATATGCAAAGAAGTACCTGACCTATCCTCCAGTCAGCATTTATTATTATTATCATTACTGTTATTATTTTGTTTTTCAAGCAGAGTTTCTTTCTGTAGCCCTGGCTGGCCTCGAACTCAAGAGGTCTGCCTGGCTCTGCCTTCTGAATGCTGGGATTAAAGGCATGTACCACCATCATCTGGCTGCAAGCTAGGATATTTTTATGAGGTAAAAATTATTCATAGATATCCAGTACATATATACATATGTATTTTTCTATATAACATTTTATGACATTAGACATATATATTATGTGTTTTTTTCTGGTTGAAAATTCTAGTGTAATAGATCATTGACTTACCGCCCACAGTGCAGGGAACGTAGGGCAGTGACTATATAGCAGGATGGGGAAGAATGTGTGCTGGGCTGAGTGGGAGCAGGTTAGGAGGAAATGCAGTGCCATAGGCAGCTCCTGATAACCAGAGAAGTGAGCTAACAACAGGTGGTAGTCTAGGAGAACAGTTGGCATCAGGATACCCAGCTGCAGGAAACAGGGAAAGTACTCCTGATAAGATGGGCAGAACAGTTGGGAACACAGAGTGTACAAGTAAAGAGCCAGAGTCACAGGGTGGCCAATCGACTCCTAGGGCCCGATGAGTCTTGACAACAGAGAAACTTACAGCCTAGGCAGGCTGACAGTGCAGGATTTAAATATAAAAGGGCTGAGGTTAGGGATGCAGTTTAACAGGTACAGTGTCTGGCAGGCAGGTAACCCTGGGATAGGGTCCCAGCACTGATATTAACCCAGTAATGTGGCACAGCCTGCAAATCCCAACACTCAGGAAGTGGTAGCAGGAGGTCAGAGGTTCAAGGTCATCTTCTTCCAGTGAGTTCCAGGCCTACTTGGAGTACCAGATCTTGTCTCAAAAATAATAAATAAATAAATAAATAAATACATGGCTCAGTAGGTGAAGGGATCTGCTGCCAAATTTGACAATTGGAGTTCAATGCCTGAAGCCTACATGGGATAAGAGAGGACCAATTCTGGAAGTTTCTTCTTATAGGTTGTGCCAGATATGTACTACCCCCAAAAACCAAACATACAATGGTACATAAAAGGGCTGTGGGTCAATTTCTAGAAAAGGGTCAAGATCAGGGCTCCCCAAGTGTACAGAGAAGAGGGATGCTCAACAAGAGTCAGGCGTGGGCTTGAGACAGAAATTCTGGGAATCTTCTCTGCCACATGACCTAGGAAGGGACTGGATGCCAAGGTGAGGAGGGACAGGGAGCACAGACTAAGAGGTGCTGCTTTGCAGCGATTGCCCCAGGAAATGTCTCTGAAGCAAAGCCAAATTAACATGGAGAAAGCTGTTTATAAGAATATATAAATAAGCCGGGCGGTGGTGGCGCACGCCTTTAATCCCAGCACTTGGGAGGCAGAGGCAGGCGGATTTCTGAGTTCGAGAGTTCGAGGCTAGCCTGGTCTACAGAGTGAGTTCCAGGACAGCCAGGGCTACTCAGAGAAACCCTGTCTCGAAAAACCAAAAAAAAAAAAAAAAAAAAAGAATATATAAATAAATAAGAGAAATAAAAATACTATATGTAAACTATGGTAGAGTATCATTAATAAAATGATATGGTAGTGTCCAGGCTGAAAATTGCATGTGTCCCCTCAGATCCCCATAACACATTTATCCATTTAATACTGGGGTTGTAACAAACCTAAGTGTCACTTACCAAGGGCATCCCTCCATTGGGCTTTACTGAGCTCTTATCTCTAGACCCACAATGACTTACTGCTGCCTTTTGCCTCGTAAAATCTTTACAACAGGAAAATGACTTGGGGCGGATTAACTCGGATTAATCTATTGAACTTGGATCCCTGAAGGCAGAAGTCCCTATTTCACTAGAGATGATGTAATCCCCAGTTTCCCTAGCCGATCCTCACCCTTTTCACTGTCATGCCACCTTCTAACACTGAAAGGGTCCTGGTGACAAGGTTCAGAAGTGCTCAGAGGAAGTCCATGCTTATCTATCTCACTCACTTAACAAACACCAAGGACCGAGGAGTTAACAAGTAACACTGGAAGCCAGGCACTAAGGTCTGAGGAGAGTGAGAACATGCTGGCCAGTCTTCTCCTGGAGTTTATACCCTAAAGGGCAGAGGGGTTTGGTTCATAAAATAAGTAATTTCAGATAAAAAGCAACATAAAGAAAACAAGTATCTGGAGTATTAATATAGAATAGGTGATTAGAAAAAGTGTTCTGAAGCCTGGTGTGATGGCAAACGCCTTTAGCTCCAGCACTTGGGAGGCAGAGACAGATCTCTGTTTGAGGCCAGCCTGGTCTACAGAGCAAGTTCCTGGACAGCCAGAGCTACACAGAGAAATCCTGTCTCAAAAAAATAAAACAAACAAACAAAAAGTGTTGTAGAGGAGCCGGGAGCTATCAGGAGGGAATGCTTCCTGGTTTGCTCAGGCAACAACTGCCAGTTTTAGAACCTGTGATAAAACTAACTGCCCAGAGGAAAAAGGCTCATTTCTAGTCCCTTCTATTAACCTACTTAAAGGAATTCTATGGCATTACAGAAGGTTAAATTGGACTTTCAAGTGTTGCCTTTGACTTTGGGGGCCAAACCATACGTGTCCAGATGTCTCCTTGGGCTTCTGGCTCTGTTCATTTAGTGGGCAGGCAAACCGGAGAAACAGGCTGGCATGCTTATACATGCCAGGAGCCAAAAAGCAAACCATGTCCTGGCCCAGCTCACTTGACTGTTGGCAGGCTGTGGGCTGTGATGTGCTAAGGAGTTAAGTCTGGGTACTAGATGAGTTGATTTAAGGAGAACATGAGAAAACCAAGCTACAGTCCCAAATATTTGAAAAGGATCTTTCTGTAAAGAAGCAAAGCTATGAATTAAAACCCCATGCATCCACTTTGCTCTCATTTCAATAGCATGTAGCTCAAATGAGGCAATACCAGTGTGTGCATTCCAGACTTGGTACACTAAAGCTCCAACTTGAGATTCTTGTCTATTTCACAGGCTGATTTCTAGCCTGCAGATCAAATTAGGATGCAGAAGTCATACTAGGTCCACTTGCTGTGGTTTTCTCTGTCACAACACACAGGTAGGCCTAAGACTTTTGATTCAAATCTCTCGGAACAAAAGGTCTGCTCTTTCCCTTCAAATTCAAGAGGGGTGGTATGTAGAAACATCTGGAAAGAAAAGTGGCCATCTTTAGTGGATGCAAGAAACCTCTGATACTACAATATATCTTTGGTGCAGTGAGAATATTACAATGACTGGAGACCGAGACTGCCCAAGAGCTCAAAAAACAAAAAACAAAAAACAAAAAAACAAAGATGAGAGAATATAACTCAAATGTAACGGAAGATAATGGAGGCACTGATGTTTCTAAAGGCAAAAGTGGACAGAGGAGAAAAGAGGCACGAAGAACAGTTAGTTAAAACTAGAATATAAAGGAATTTAATTGTTTTCCTTTTATCCTCCAGGCCAGAATGTGTATAAATAAATACACAAGTATAAAGTGCCTGGTACATTCTCTTCTTTCTCTTTCTTCTGTCTATTTTAAACGATTTCCCAAGAGATCTAAAGTCTTCTCAGAAAAGTGAATTAGCTGAACGAACCCGATATATTTGTTGAAATACTTACAGAAGAAGTTAGGTATCTAACGACTGGTTTAAAAGGGGATTATCTTTCCTTTCTTCATCCACAGGTCACTGAATACTTTTAACGGCATTTTGCACGGAGAATGAGAGGGGAAAGGAAGAAAAGAGATAGTGACATCTATTTGCATTTTCTAAAAGGATGGAATGAGACTCGGGAGGGTATCCGAGGTCACTCAGCTGAGCCAAAGGTGGATTGAGAGTCGTATTTATAGTCCGCTGACTTCAGTTCAGCCGGCTCCCGCCGCTCCTTATCTTACGCCCGAGGAATTCGCGGGCTCGCGGATCACAGCAACCCCAGCAGCCTGGCCTCCCGGCCGAAACGAGGCTTTCGCTACGTGACCCCGAGAACGCGTGCACCTCCAGGTTCTTCCCGGCAGGCTTGAGCCAGAGAGAACCGGGGTGGGGGTGGACAACGGGAGGGGGGTAAGTAATGACTACAGTGTGCCTACATTTTTCTTTGCAACCACAACTACGAAACCGGCAACCGATCCCGCGCCATGGAGACTCGGTGCCTTCGGAGCATCCCGGCCGCTTCTCACGTGCAGCGCGAGCTCCGGCTCTAGAAGGGGTGTGCCCGCATCGTCTACTTCATGCAGTCTTGCCCCAGCCGCCCCTCCGTCACGCGTGCGGCGGCAGTGTGCACTGAGGGGTGGCCCCCCTTCCTTCGGCAACCTGGCGCCCCGGTGCCGGCGGCCGGCCCTCCTTCCCGGCAGAGGGGCGCCGAGCTCCACGGGCCCTTCGGGCACTTCCGCCGAGCTCTCGGCTCGGTTCGTGTCCGGGGCGGGGCCGGCGCCCCGGGGCGGGTGCGCGCAGAGCTGGCGGGCCCTTCCCAGTGCGCGCGCGCCGGCGCCTCTTGCTCGCCCGGGCCGCCCCTCCCCCACGCGCCGCCCCTCCCCCCGCGAGCGAGCGTCCGCCGCGGCTGAGGCGGCAGAGATTGGAATCTGCTTGCCGGCCGCGCGGAGGAGGAGGGCGGAGGGAAGGGCGGGGAGGGAGGCTCGAGCTCCCGCGCGTCGGCCCGCGCGAGACGAGGACTGTACGGCCGCGCGAGGGGCGACCGGGCCCGGGCCGCTGCACGCCGAGGGCGGAGGCCGAGCCGGGCCCCGCCGCCCCGCGGCTGTACGTGCCCGCCTGCGCCGAGCGCTGGAGGATGAGTTTCTCGGGATCCCGGTGAGTTGGCGGGTCGCGGAGTGCGGGTGCGCCGCGGGAGGCCGGCGAAGTTTGGGGCGACGGTGGCCGCGCAGGGGAGGCCGCGACGCGCCTCAGCGGGGCCTGTGGGAGACCCCGGCCCCGCGGCCCGGCCCGCCCGCGCTTGCCCTTTTGTTCGCATTCGCACCACTCCGGGGACGCTTCTGGAATCCTTAAATGGGAACGGGCGCTCTGCTCCCGCTCCGGAGCTGCGCGGCTGATACTGGGGCTGGGTCTCGGGACCCTGTTAGGAAACGAGAACGAAACGTGTTTAGTGCGGGGATGGAGGCCGGACGAACTGCTTGGCCCGCCCTCCAACTTGGCTGCGGGAAGGCGCCGGGTTTCTCCCTCTGTCCCTCCGAGTTGGTTCACCTGTTGTTCTGCGCGGCCTCCGCTGCCATGTCTGTTGTGATTCTGCACTTCGATTTCAGAAAACTTTGTGCTAGGTTACGCGTACATCTCCCTCCCCTTCAAGACTCCTAGCGGAAATATTTGGCAAAGTAAAGAAAAAAATAACAACCCCCTCCCCCACAACGCGTCAGGGAAGAAAAATAATAACGCCGTGTGTTAGTCGTGCCTGGCATTTTGTGACTTGTAAGACTCCGTCGTGGTGTCGATCTTTTTCAGTTGGTTAAAGGGCTGCAGGGTTTCTCTTTTAAACGGCTTACAAACTGTTCGGAGTACATGATACGAACTTAGCACCCGTGTCACGTCATTTACTTCTTAAGATAACCCTGGTTATTGTATTCTTTGTTGCTTAGAAGAGGAAACCGAGACGTAGAGGTTAAATAACTTAGATAAGTGAGCTGGGATTGGACTCAGGGACGTCGTATTCAAGAGTATGGCCTTCTTACAAAAGCAAATTGTGCAAAGACTTAGAAGCGTTTTCTAGTTATTCACGAACTCCTGTGTTGCTTCAGTTGTAAACCGACTTGTGTTTGCTCGTGAGGGGAAATTAAACTTCGAGATAAAATAAAAGGTAATTTAATGCTTATCATTGTTCTCGAACTAAAAGATGCTAAACCAAAATTAGCTTTTAAAGGTCAAAACTAAAATATGAACACTTCTTGGGAACCCATAGTTTATGGAAAACAGATTTAAATTTGGAATGGGTTTTCTATTGAACCTGTACTGTGTTTTATATTCTCCCCCCCCCCATTCTTGGGGGAGACCTTTTTAACTGTCTTTTCTTCTCCTTACCCTTTAAGAGTGAGGAGTCCAGTGGTTGCCCTTTGCTTTGGATTCCTTCTTCGATCTGCTTGCCTTCTAGAGGGCCCCCTCCCGTTTACTAGTTAACATTTTGATACATCTCCTTTTCTTACCTATTGGGGCATGAATTATTCTCTGTTGTCTTGTTTTTTGTTTGTTTGTTTGTTTTTTTTGTTCCTATTGAATTGATACAGAGTTTCAATATATAGCTCAGGCTGGCCTCCAATTGGCTGTAGACCAGGCTGGTATTATATTTTTTTATTTCTATTTTTTTTTAAAGTATGTACTTAGGATCCTTCAATTTACAAAAACTTTTCTGTAGTTCTGCTATTCTCTCAAGCTGTGTTATATTTTCTTTTCAAATCATATTAACATTTTGAAGTTTTTTTTCTTAGAAAAGTAATACATAGTCATTAAAGAGAAATTGCAAAATAGAGCAAAATTGAAGTAAAGTTAGAATACAGTCATCCATAATCCCTCCTGTAGAGACTGCCAGGAGTGGACTTACTTTTCTTGCTTTGACTCTGGTGACCATTCATTGACTTAATTAACTCCTTATTGGCAGAATTTCACATTCACAAAGGAAGGATAGCTTAATCAGACCTAAGCACTGTTTTGAGGCCTGAACTTTTTTTTTGCTAGGGAGGCCCTCTACAATTTAGCTACATCTCCAGCTGGACTTCTTGTCCCTAAAACATAACCTTGCTGTTTCTTCATCTATGTTTTATTGGAGGAGTATATACTGTATTCTGACACACTAAGGGTTGGGGGCAACCACACATATTGTCACTGAACTCGTGGCGCTTCAAGTCTAGTTGGGGAGACATGTGGAAGGATGAGTTCTATATAATTAAGTGTAATTGTGGTGATAATTAAAGTGTAGGGTATTATAAAGGCTTAAAGTGGAGACCTGACCTGGTGCTGGTGTTGTTTAGAGAATCTAGGAGGACCTCTCTGAAAATGTTACTTTGCATTCTGATTAGGTGAAAAGGGGGCGTCCGTGCCATGGCGGCCTTATTCCCATTTGCCCTCCTTCTACCTCTGTTCTTCCTCCTTTCTCTTAATTTCTAGGTCTCACTTTTCATATCACTTAAAATGTTTCTAAGTCCCTTGAATTGTTACATTCATTTCTGTGTGTTTGCTTGCAGGAGTGAGTCTTTCCTTCTACCTTGTGGGACCTCAAGCTTGGTTGGTGGCAGACACCTTGACTTGCTGAGCTGGCTGGCCGGCCCTCCCATGAATTACTGTTCAGATTTTTCTGTCTGATTATTTCTCAAATCCTGATTCCCTTCTGGACTTGAATCCTTCTGGTTGCTTTATGTTAAAAAAACAAAAACAAAAACAAAAACAAAAAAACCCTGTACCTGGTAATGGAGTTTAGATGAGCTCTTTTCTAGTACTGGCTAGCTTATGGTGCTGCCTGTCCCTACTAATGGAGCAAGCCCAAATCTTTCCCCAGTCCTTCCCATCCAGTCTGTAGGCAACATCTATAGATACTGCTTTCTTTCCTGATACTGTGACTCTTCTTTGTATTCCAGTCAACTCTGACACAAGTCTAAGTTTGCATTAATATAGGAATTATAATAGTCATAGAATAATAGGGTAGCTTTCCTTCTTGCTCTCTTTTCTGGAGCAGTTTGAACTGGGATTGTTCTTGAATGGCTAGCATACATATGTATGTATATATACATGTATATATGTGTCATGCCACAAAATATATATATATATATACACACATACACACACACAAATGGTCATATAAACATATATTTAAACCTAGATTTTTTTTATGGAAAAGACTTTTTAATTTATTTAATAACTATTGGTTTGTGTAAAATTTCTGTTTCTTTTGAATTTTAAAGCTTTGTATTTTTAAAAGATTGTATTTTTAACTAGTTGTATGTGTGCATGTCTCTGTGGGTATGTATGTGCTGGTGAATATGGTTGTCCAGGGAGGCCAGGAGAGGGTGTTGGGTTCCTGGAGCTGGAGCCACCCAACATCTGTCCTGGGAAGCTGACTCTGGCCTTCTGAAGAGTAGCAAGAGCTCTTACCTGCTGAGCCATCACTTTAGCCCTGGGTTTCAGAGTTGTTTTTTTTTTTTTTCCAGGAATTTATTTATTAAGTGTTTCAGAAATAATTTTTTGAATTAAAAATATCTTTTTTTAGTTCAAGAATTTTTTTTACACAGTATATTTTGATTATATTCATCCTTCACTCTCATTTCCGTAGCCACTTAATTTCTAGCTTTCTTAAAATCTTTTTTTGTTGTTTCTTTGTTTTGTTTTGTTTGGTTTTGTTTAGTTTGGTTTGGTTTGGTTTTTTGAGACCCAGTTTCTCTTTGTAGTTCTGGCTGTCCTAGCACTTATTTTGTATGTAGACCAGAATGGCCTTAAACTCAGAGATCTGCCAGACTCTGCCTCCTTAGTGCTGGGATTAAAGATGTGTGCCACCACTGTCCAGGCTAAACATTTTTTAAAATTTAACTTATCATTCAATTTGTGTTGCTCAGCTACCCTTGGGAGTCAGGGATCACACCATTAAAGAAACTAACACCCTCCCTTTCAAATGCCAGTAGCTCTTCAGCTGGTGGTGGGATTTCATGCCCATCCATCCCTCTACCCCAATGGTGAGATTTTGTTTGGTTTGAGTTTGTTTAGGTCTTGTGCATGCTGTCATAGCCGCTGTGAGTTTCTATGTGCAATGCCCTGTTGTGTCCAGAAAACACTTTCCTTGAAGATGTCTGCAACCTCTGGCTCTTACAGTCTTCTTGTTCATCCCTTCTTTCAAAAATATCCCTCAACCTTTCTTGGAGGGTGTGATATGTTGGTTCTATTCAATGTTGAGGACTCAAGTCTCTTATTCTCTGCACATTGACTAGTTGAGGGGCTCTGTGTTAATTGCCATCTATACAAGAAGCTTCTCTGATGATTGATAGACCAATCTCTGTATAGCAATAAATCATTAGGAGTCAGCTTAGTACTATGTCTGTTTAGCAAAATATTGGTAGTAAGTTCTCCCCTAGGACCCACATTTCTTGTCCCTGTTAACAGTGTCATGTGTAGATTCTATGCCATGATTGAATAAAATATTTTGAGTTTATTTGGTTTTCATGTAGCTCCCACTACCACTTTAATTTCTACTATGTATCTCTCCCTGCCTATTTAGTCTATGATTGGTGGAATCAATCCTATGGTAAAGGAGAGTCTACTGCGTGTTATTCTTTTGTTGTTAAGGGACAGGGTCTTGTTGTATTGCCTAGGTTGGGTCTTCCTATATCTTTGGACCTTTATCTTTGGATAAAAGATCTTCCTGCCAATTGCTAGGAATTCAGCTGCCTGCTATCATATCTAGCTTGAGCTTAGGTTTTCAAAGTAAACTTTAAGCCAGGTGCGGTGGTGCACACTTAGAAGCCCAGCAGTTTTGAGATGGAGGCGGTGGGGGGGGGGTGTCAGGAATTCAAGACCAGCCTGGGCTGCACAACACTCTGTTAAAAAAACAAAACCAATCCCAAACAAGTAAACGTAAAAATGTCTTTGAAAATTTTTTTAAATTAGATGGTTATTTGAATATGTGTCAATCTTTTCAACCAGTGGGTTTTTTTTGTTTTGTTTTTGTTTTTTTTTTTGTTTTTTGTTTTTTGTTTTTTTCGAGACAGGGTTTCTCTGTATAGCCCTGGCTGTCCTGGAACTCACTCTGTAGACCAGGCTGGCCTCGAACTCAGAAATCCGCCTGCCTCTGCCTCCCAAGTGTTGGGATTAAAGGCGTGCGTCAC